ACCGCTGGAGAGGGGGATGTTGCCGTAGTCGGACGAGCCGTTGGACAGACCAGAGCCGGCAGACTTTGAAGTTGCAGAGGAGCCGTACGAGGCGTGCATGTTCAGGGCTGCCATGTTGTTCGTCAGACCTTGCAACCCGGCATCACCGTGGGGAGACATAGGCAGACCTCGAGGGAGGTATTGGGCAGACCCGTGACCTTGGCCGTTCTGGTTGTACGTGTTGAGCATATGCTGGCCCTTGTACCCTGCATTGGCAGGCGCATAGTTTTGCTGACGACCGTTGGTAGCCATTACAGTCACGTCGGAAGTGGTTCCGATCGAATGAGTGCAGGAGCTGCTGGAGAGACAGAGACTGGACCGAAGAGCTGCAAGCAAGCGTCGACAGAGAGATAGATGCGACCCTGAAAAAGACGGCGGCGAAGACTCTTCACAATGGCTGAGCGAACAGGTAGACTGAGATGCAGAGAAGAAGGTTGCTCTAGGCAGGGTCAGCTTTTATCATAACCGACAAGCTTGACGCTAGCCATTTCTGGCAATGAGCCATGAGTTTTGGGCGAGGAGTATGAGAGCAGACCTCGCGGAGATTGCGAGTAAGTTTCGACCAAGTTGTGCGCAAGTGCGGGGGAGGAGCTTCGGTGTTGTAGTGGTGCCAAGCCCGTGGAAGTGAGGGAGTGAAAGGGGCTTACCAGATCGTAAATGTCAAACTTTTTTGCAATGTGCGGGACTGGTAGTGACTCCAAAGCTGCTGGGGGTTAGTACATGGCTTAATGTAACATGGGGGGCTGTGGGGAGATGGGATGAATGACTGACCTGCGGAAAGCTACAAAGAATGTGGCCACTGATGCGTATTGGTGAGAAAGAAGTGAAGAAGAGTGAGGAGTAGAAGAAGAGGAAGAAGAAGAGAGAAGACAGGATGAGAGGAGTTGTTGTAGCCGCCACTGGCGTCCGGGCGTCGGTGGTGGAGAGGAAGGGGCAGTCGCGATGATGGGTCGACTGACGACGCCGAAAAGCTGGGTAGGGCAACATCGACCTTGACGAGGAAGCTGCCAAGGAGAGACGGGGGCAGCGGAGAAAAGAGCTTACCTGTCTGATGACTGGTGACTGGTGTTGAAGCAACAGCAGACGGACGCGGGTATACACAGGAACGGCAGCACTTGCACTTGTGGTATCGTCGCTTCTCAGTTTGGACAGACGTCAAGCCGTGGTTAGGTAATACTGCAGAAAGAGCTGTTTCAATAGTGATGTCAGGGGAATGTTGCTTGTGGGAGAGGACGCAGTGCGCGTTGTTCTGTCCCACTCGCCTCGGTGGGAGAGTCGAGCTCTTATACGACTAGTAGGGACAAGATTCTGTGTTGATATGCACAAGCCCAGGGACATGGTCTTGCGAAGCGCTGCACGTTGATCGCAGATGTGCGAGGCCGCAGCACTGTGTACTCTTGCCCGCCTCCCCATCAAGGCAGCCATACCTCTCTGAGACGAGTGTGTAGCAGGAAGACGACAGGGCGTTCCCCTATAGGTTTCTGGCCTTGTGCTGACTCCACAGCGGCAACAGCCCATGCAGCCATACCGCCCTTGCAGCAAGCAGGGCTCCAGGGCTGAGGGCTTCAACGTCATTGTTTGTTGCTGCAAAGCTCGGGGCTGGCTTGGGCAATGTCGTCGTGGTCGTGCTTTCTTCCGTCTCCTGCCAGGGACTCGACACGTCGTTTCCTCAATCCCACACACCCACCACACACCTACCCGCTCTCGGAAACACGCAGCGGAAGCACCCGGACAATCAGACGTGCAGAGAGCTCCTTTTGACGGCCAACTAGCCTCGCATCATGTTAGTCCGGCTACACAAAAGGGCCAAATCTCTCACCATGTCCTATAGCCAAACCTCTGTCAACCTGTAGAGGGCTCCAAGTAGGATGGCGGTGATGCATCTGCAGCACGCTTGTAACCCGTGCAGCAATCCGGCGCAGTGCAGCCAGTGTCGGCTGTGAAGCGGCAGATTAACGTCGACAGATGAAAGCGACGCCCCACTCAACGACGTCGAGGGAGGAGCGCCTTGATGCGACGACCGTGGTCGTACGCAAACCCCAGGCCGACAGCTCTATTTCTGAAGTTATCCAGCCTGAGCGAGTTCCCTCCATCTGCAGCGGCAATGCATATGCAAGGGCGTGTCCGCAGCGCCGGGCTGGCCTCACCCCCTCTTGAGAAGCGTCACTTTACTACGAGACAGGTGTGCATCGTGTACGAGGCCAAAGCCAGAAGTAAAGTACTAGTAGCACTGTGAGGTGCGAATCACTCTTGTCAAGGCCATAGTACGAAACCTAGTGAGGAAGTCGGTGCTAGCCCGCTTGCCATCTCGTCTTGTCGGATTGCTCTGTAAACGGCCGCTTGAACATGTACTGTGCGCTGAAGTGATACAGACCTCACGAATGGAGAGGTATCTGCCGCCTCGCGTGTTGCGTGGGGCGCAAGCGCACTGATTACTGTGTCGCATGTCTCTGTAAGCAGCTATCCGAACGGTTATTCGGCTGTTGAGTCGGGTGTCATTGGCCTCGTGGCAGTGTGCCGACATGGCAGACTGAAGAAACGGTCCAGTGTCTAGAACCTCTGGAATGAGATGAGGTTCTGACATCCATGTAAAGGTGGCGTTTGGACAGGCAGCTATTCGCCCGCCTCACATGGCAAGCCTGTCTGTAAGGACCTCTTCAGGAGCTGTGCATGCCGTGCACCGTTGAAGCTGCATGTTCCTCCTTCGCATACAGGCGGATCCGACGGCTCTCAGTTTGTACAGACCTGCTTGACCGTTGCTTCGTTACGACTCTGCTGATGTTACCCAGTTCAACCTCAAACCTGGCTTCCGGATCACCTCGCTACCATCAGCACAAAGGGGGAGAAACGGGGCGCAACGGCTCCTTCCATTCGTATCCGCGACGTGGTACAGACGCAGAATAGGACGCCCCGTATGAGCCTCGCAAGGGTCCATGGCGTTTCGAAACACTGCGTTACCGTCCTGCTAGGTATCGAGCCAGACGCCCCACACATGCTCAAGTTGTGGCGATGTGGGACTGGCCCTCGTTGGTTACCGTCAGGTGTCTGGATATGCCATGCGCGACCAGGAAAACTCAGAAGAAGACGCTTCCCCGGGTCTGTTGTGCGCTTCTTTATCGTACGCATGCTGATGCTGCCTTATATAACCATATATGTCTGCACCTTTGAGCAATTAGGGCTCGCCACGCAACAGTTTGCGAGCCAATGCAGCATGTTGGGGGCCGTCTTTTCGCCTCGTGATGGTCAGAGTTTGTCGTGAATTATCGCGGCGCAGGAACAGTCTAAAAACAGTCATGGCTGAGCCCCAAGTTGCAGATTGTTTTGTACGTAGGCGACAGGGTGAGGTTTGCAGAAGACATGAGGTTTGCGGGAGACGATCCCAATGACAGTCACAGCGTGCTATCCACCAATCGGGGCGGTGGACCAGGGCTAGCGGACGTTTGGTCTACCACGGCAGGGCCGCACAGCATTAGACTGTGCAGAGCTCAACACTGTCCTGATACAGCTTGACATCACCTGAGCAAGGTACGCGCATCAGTCCTGAGATTGGTATGATAATCTA